CCATCCGGATGAAAGCAGAGCGGCCAGGCACCGGATTGAAGAAGGCTGGGCAATCCACAACCGATCGGTCCTTGCCCTTCGCCTCCTGCGGTCAAGCAAGCAAGCAATTAAGCAAGCCCCCTGACCGCCCTTCCCTCTTGGTTTACCCCGGGACGTTAAGAAGCGATGGGCGGGAGGCGGCGGAGAGGTGCTCCGAGCGAGGGCGAGCCGCGGAACCGAGCCGCCGGCGAGCCTGGCCGGTGAAGGCGGGAGATGCAGCCACCTGGTGCTAGCTTGGCTCGGTAACGGTTGTATCCGTGGCCGCGTTCCAGCGGCGGCCCCTCCCTCCGTGCAGCCTTCCTCCGAAGGCTGGGCGAAGCCGGGCACCGGAATGCTGCAGCGATAATGTTATTGAATCGTTAATCTTGATTAACCATCAATGTTAATGCAGCCCAGGATTGGAGTTGGCCTTTTTTTTTTGGGTGCTATAGCCCCCCCCCCCCCCCCCCAAAAAAACGGCCAATGCGATCCTAAGCTGCATCAATGTTTTGTTTATAGCAAAGCCTATTTTTTATTTATTTATTTTTTATTTGTCAATTGCTTACAAGATAATAGGTATAAGTAAAAACATAGTTATGAATACATGTAAACATATTAGAAAAATAAAAGAAACAATAGGACAGGGACGATAGGCACGTTGGTGCGCTTATGCACGTCCCCTACAGACCTCTTAGAAAGGGGTGAAGTCAATAGTAGACAGTCTAAGGTTAAAGTTTTTGGGGTTTGGGGAGAAAAACCTCAGAGTCAGGTAGAGTATTCCAGACATGGACCACTCTGTTGCTGAAGTCGTATTTCCTGCAATCAAGTTTGGTGGGATTAACCTTGAGTTTGTAGCTATTGTTTGCTCTAGTGTTGTTATGGTTGAAGCTGAAGTATTCATTGACAGGTAGGACATTGCAATGTATGATTTTATATACTATACTTAGGACCGAAGGCGGCGTAGTTGTAGGTTTTCTAGGTCTAGAATTTCAAGTCTGGTGGCATAAGGTATACTGCAATGAGTAGAGGAGTGGAGAACTCTTCTTGTGAAATATTTATAATTTTGTTATAAAGCAACAACTAAGACCGCACTTGGAGTAGTGCATCCAGTTTTAAGCATCGCAAGATGAAAAAAAAGATGTTGAGAAACGCTGGAAAGAGTGGAGAGAAGAGCAACAAAGATGAGTGTGTGTGTGTGTGTGTGTGTGTGTGTGTGTGTGTGTGTGTGTGTGTGTGTG